TTGCTCATGCTTTTGGTATCGTATCTAAGAATTCATTGTCAAAAACAAGATCTTAATGCTTTCTCCTGTGTTTTCTTCCAAGAGTTTTATAGTTTTAGCTCTTACATTTAGGTGGTTGACCAATTTTGAATTTGCTTTTGTTTATGATGTGAGTTATGGGTCCAACTTCATTCTTTGCATGGGAGTTGTCCCGGAACCATTTATTGAAGAGACTGTTCTTTGCCCATTGAATGGACTTGCCACCCTTGTTGAAAATCAGTTGGTTATAGATATATGAATTTATTTCTGGACTCTCAATTCTATTCCATTGATCTGTATGTCTGTTCTTATACTAGTACCACACTGTTTTGTGGTACTAGTAAAAGAATATACTACACTGTTACTGTAGTTTATAGTACATTTTGAAATTGGAAAGTATGAGTTTCCTACTTTGTCATTTAAAAGGTTGTTTTAGCTCTTTGGGGCCCCGTTCAATTCCATATGAACGTAAGAATTGGCTTTTCCATTTCTGCATAAAAGGCTGTTGTAATTTTGGTAGAGATTGCGTTGAATCTGTAGATCACTTTGGGTAGTATGATGGTTAACATTGTGTGTCAGCTTGGCTGGGCCATGATTCCCAGTGTTTATATGTGGTCACCTGCATAATGGGATCTGCTGTGAGTAGCTAGTCAGGTGAAAGGGAGTTTCCTTGGGTGCGTGGCCTACATCTGAATATAAGTGGACATTCTGGCTCTTGCCTGCTCTGGATCCTGTGGCTGCCTCCTATTCATCTGACCTCGGTTCTTGGGACTTGAGCTTATCAGCTTATCTGCCTATTTTGGGATTCTTCGATCTTCACAGCCTATGAGCAGGAGCCCTGCTCTCCAACCTGCCGATCTTGGGTTCACCAGCCCCTGCAGCTACGTGAATGATGAGAAGCCTGTGGTCTTGCCTGCCGCTCTTGGGATTTGTTGATCTTCACAGCCTGCGAGCAAGAGCCCTGCTATCTGACCTGCCGATCTTGGGTTTACCAGCCCCTGCAGCTGTGTGAATCGGGAGAAGCCTCTGTTCTAATCCACGGATTTGGGATGTTTCAGCTTCTACAATTGTGTGAGCCGTTTCCTTGATATAAATCTCTTTATATTTGTACACTTTGCTGGTTTTGCTTCTCTAGAGAACCCAGCTTAAAACAAGTAGTCCTGACATGTTAACAATATTAAGTCTTCCAGTCTATGAACACAGAATGTCTTTCCATTTCTCAGGGACAGATTACCCAATAAGCAAAGTATGCATGGGCTTACTTGTGCTTAATAATATGTAGTGCATAATTTCACCTGTTTTTCACCACGTCAAAGATGTAAAGAAACCCATGTGAAATTGTGCACTACAGATTAGTAAGTAAACACAAGTCTGTGCGTACCTTGCTTACTGGTGAATCCACCCTTACATTTCATTCAGGTCTTCTTTAATTTCTTTCAGCAATGTTTTATAGTCTCCACCATAAAGTCTTACATCTTCCTGATTAAATGTATTCCTAGTTATTTTAGGTGTTACTGGAAATGGAATTGTTTTCTTAATATCCTTTTTGGATTGTTCATTGCTGGTGTATAGAAACACATCTGATTATATTGCATGTTGATCATGTACCCTGTAACTTTGCTGAATTCATTTATTAGCTCTAGTAACTTTTTTTTTGAATTCTTTGGGATTTTCTATATGTAGGATTATGTCATCAGTGGACAGAGATAGCTTTACTTCTTCTTTTCCGATTTGGATGCCTTTCTTTTTATGTTTTTTTTTAACTAATTGCTCTGACTGGAACTTCCAAGACGATGTTGAATAGCAGTGATAAAAGCAGGCATCCTTGTCTTGTTTCTGATCTTAGGGGAAAAGCTTTCAGTCTTTCATTATTGAGCATGATGTTAGCTGTGAGTTTTTCATAAATGTCCTTTATCATATTGAGAAATTTTCCTTCTGTTCCTAGTTTGTTGAGTATCTTTATCATGAAAGGCTGTTGGATTTTGTGAAAAAAAAAACAAAAATACCATTTTTATTCATTTTCTTAAACCCAAAATTATTCTGAATTTGTCACAACACATTCATCCATTCGCTAATTCAGTTCACTAATATTTACTGATTTATTACTATATGTTAGGGACACAGAGGTAACCAAGGCATAGTCCCTTCAAGAAGCTTACAGTCTATTTAAAGATCTAGTCAGAAAAATCAGTGATTTCAGTACATCCTGAAAAATGCTTTAAATGGAGGTGCATCTTTGGTAAGTGTAATATGGGGAAAGAGAATAGGAGTGCTTAACAGAAGATCGGGAGATTTTGGGGTTTTGTTTGTGTGGTAGAAGGAAGAGGCTTGAATGTTTATATGCTGGAGAGAAAGTAATAGTAGAAAGATATAGGTGAAGATAAAAAATGGAAGGGATAATTCATGTATCAGGGACCTTAAATAGACCAAAAAAAAAACCCAAACCCATTGCCGTTGAGTCAATTCTGACTCATAGCAACCCTATCAGACAGAGTGGAGCTGCCCTGTAGAGTTTCCAAGGAGCGCCTGGTGGATTCAAACTCTCAGCCTTTTGGTTAGCAGCCGTAGTTCTTAACCACTACACCACCAGGGTTTCCTTAAATAGACACGAGGGGGTAATATCAAGGGTCCAGATCGAGAGGAGAGACACTTGATTTGACAAGACTAAATGAAGGAAGGACAAGGTAGACATGAATGAAATTAAGTTTGTAGCTTTGGAAGAAAAGTTCGAGGAAATACAAGCCAAATGCCCTCTATGGGGGCAGTGGTGGTTCAGTGGCGGAATTCTTGCCTTCCACGCAGGACACCCAGGTTCAATTTCTGGCCAATTTCCGATTCAGTTCCTGGCACACTCACCACCCATCTTTCACTGGAGGCTTGTGTGTTGCTATGATGATGAACAGGTTTCAGCAAATCTTCCAGACTAAGACAGACTAAGAAGAAAGGCCTGGCAGTCTCCTTTGGAAAAATTAACCAAAGAAAACCCTGTGGATCACAGCAGTCCAGTCTTGTTGCACACGGTGTTGTCATGAGCCGGGAGCCAACTTGACAGCAGCTAGTAACGACGATAGTGGCGTCTGTTGTTTTTGAGTGGAATAAGAGTTGATGTCATCTGTTGAAAATATGTGATTTGAGATGCAGTTTTGAGGGAAGGTTGTGAAGATTTGGTGTAACTTCTAATAAATAGGAGAAGGAGCTGATTAGGGGCACAGAGGATTGCTGGTTAGTGTTGTGTTATCAGTTGGGGTTTTAGACCTTAGCTATACCAAGCCACAGCAGGCAAAACATTAAATGACACAGAGTGAACATTTTTAGTGTTTAAAAGATAAGTAGCTCAGTGTCTGAAAATTGTAGAAGTCATGGATGTAAGGAAGGAAATAAAATCACAGAAAGGTTTACAGGAGGAGTCAAGGACCTAATGAAGTAGAAGTATGAGTGTCAGGGTAAGAAAATTCAAAAAGGGATAGGAAGTAGTAGTCAAAGACTTGGACATAGACATTTTACTAAATTTTTGTTTTAAAGTTTTATTATTACAAAGCTATTCATATTAGTTTTGTAAAGATCTGTGTCTGGATTTTTTTAAAGACTGACAGTCTTCCCTCTATGTCACAGTTTTAGTCCCCAAAGGTATCTTCTGATAATAGTTTGCAGAATGTGATGTTGAAATTTACAATTGCTGAAGTGTAGAGCAAGGTTTAGAATGGAACCATTAGAAGGCTGGCTAAAGTGGTGTGAAGGTGAAACTGAGGAGCTAGATGCTGACTGTGGGTCCATGCTAGGATGGATTTACATTGCTCCTGCCTAACCTGGTCTTTATACAAATCACAGGAGCTAAGAGGCTTTCGGTTCTCAGACTGTCCCAGGAACTTGAATCAGCACCAAAGTGGACCTAGTTATCAACGTCAAGAGTCAGATATATTTAATATATCAGAATAGATTTAAATTCTCAGACTGATCCTATCGCAGGCTTTTCCCCCAGCTAGAAAGAAAGAAAACCAGTTGGGGAATGGGAAATGCTAGCTTTTTGCTATTCCAGCTGGCTAGGTTTGATAATGATCTGTGAGAAAAATCAAGGTTTTAGAAGCAAACAGACCTCATGTATCCATATATATATGAGAAATAGGCTTACAAGATATAATGTAAAGCTCTTATTAAAATCGCATAGATAAACTCAATGGGTTAGAATACTGCTGAGGTTGTCATGAAGAAATTATAGCATCAATTGAGCTGATACATATTTTTCTTTAGGAATAGTCTAGAAGCTGAAATTGATGTTTGATCTTGGTTTTACCTTTTTTTCCACTTGAAAGAAAATGAAAGTGTCTCAAGGAGACATTAAATTTAGTTCTGTATATGTACAGAGATTAATTTGAGTACATGAAACCAAATGAAAATGATTGTCCTCATTATTCACCGTACTCTCAATGTTTCTTATGTTAAAAAAAATTTACCACATATATGGCAAATGCATTTTTAAGCAATGTGAAATCAGTTAACTGCTTGATTGTCTTAAGTAGCATTTGAATAACAGATAGTAGAGAGGATACACAGTGAAACTTGTGAGAGCCAGAACTCTGTGGGACTTCCAGGTCTTGAAAGTTATCCACCTTTGACAGGATGCGGTCCTACCACTTTTCTATAGTTCACTATTAGTGGAAAATATTTGCATTTTCCTTCTGTGACAGGTTTCCGCCTTTCACAGGTTTCAGCTTTCGCAGGTTTTACTGTAGTAACAAACTTACTCTAAGGAACAAGCTGTAAGCCTATCTAGTCCTTGGGGGAGAAGATGCTCACGTAATTAAAAATAACATAAAAAGCAGCAGATTTTGAAATGCCTCCTTGTAATCTGAAAAAGGATTACTTTTTTGTTATTTTCTCACTTCTTTGTTACTGTTGAACATTGAGTATCTGCTGAAGATGCAAAAGTACAACCCAAATGTACAAATATATTTGTACTAAAATAATGAGACCTCTAGGTACCATACTACTGGAAAGTTGGGTGAGGGGTATAGTAGTCACTACCCTAGATCCATATGCTAATGTAACATTTATTTCTTCTCAGTGCTGACAGTAGAGTAAAATTATGGGATGTGAGGAGAGCATCAGGATGTTTGATTACTCTTGATCAGCATAATGGGAAAAAGTCACAAGCTGTTGAATCAGGTAATGAAATTTTTTTTTATTGAAAATTTTTTGATTGAAGCTAAATAATAAATGTATGTTGACAAATTGCAAATTTTGTTTTTAAAAAAGATATTCACCATAAATCAATTTCTAAATTTACATGAACTAAATTATTTTATCTTTCTTCAAGATACTAAAGGAATAGTAACATTTGTAGCCATTATGTCGGCATAAAAACTGCAAGTTGTATTAATAAATGTAAGTCTGCTACAGTCCAGGTGACAGGTACCTCAGCTGCATTTTTATAATAGAGCTTGATTTCTATGTACATTAAAATTTTGATTTAAAATTAAATCTGGACTGAAAATATATTAGAATGAAGTATAAAACCTATGATTGTTTTAGTAATCTTTTTTGATTAAATGAATCAGGCTATTGAGAATTATGCTGATTTTCTCAAACTTGTTCAGTTTGAAAGATACAAATTTTGATTGAGACTAATACAGTCATCCTTCCCTTGTTAAAGTTTTTTTTTTTTTTTTTAATGTAGAACACTTGTATTACTGACTTTTAATAGTTTATGGGTTGATTTTTCAGATTAGAAATTGAAATGTTACTTTAAAGGGTTGGGAGGTGTTTGCTTTAAAATTTTAGTGTTAAGCTATGCACGTAATTGAATTTGATAGCACCGCTTACTCTCTGAAAAAAAAATTATACTTGGCAGAATTTTTTTCCGTTTGGTTTTCCTCTATTTTTATGGTTCTAATTTATATAGTTTATCATTATTCAAGTAATGCAAAGGTTGTTTAATTTTAAATATAGTCAACTTATATATTTTAAGTAATTTAGGTAGTTGTTCTTTAAAATGTTTAACTGTATCATCGAACATTAAATATGTACTGAATACATGCACAGATAAACTGAACTATATTTTTCATTGCAGCAAACACTGCTCATAATGGGAAAGTTAACGGCTTATGTTTCACAAGTGATGGGCTTCATCTCCTCACTGTTGGTACAGATAATCGAATGAGGCTCTGGAATAGTTCCAGTGGAGAAAACACACTAGTAAGACATTTTAATTATCTCCAGCTATTTTAATACAGTTAAAGAAATGATGTTTTTCTATAGATTTAGCTTGGTTTCTTGCGTTTGAATCACAGCTTTTTTTTTTTTTTTTTTTTGATAATATGTGAGCTAGTGATTCTCAACTTATGACAACCCTTGTCCACCCCACCCCCTGCCATATTACCACCACTTAGTGAAGAATCACTGCTCCACTGAGCCACTATTCTAATGGGAGTGTGCCATGTTTCTTAGGTATATTGGGAAAGAATAAAAGATTGAGAGCCGATATAAATTAAAGTTAAAAATTAAATAATCAGATATTATACTATGTGTGACTTGTGAAAAAAAATCCAAAATCCAGTACTTTATTTAAGCTGGACTAAAGGTGTTTTGAAGGTATTAGATTTTTATGTGGCAATTATTTCTAGTTTTTTTGTTGTAGTTGTTTTTAATGTATGTTGTGGTCCTTGCCATGCATATCTGTTGTTTAGTAACTCTCAAAATAAGCTTCCAAAAGTTTAGAAATTGGTGACAATAATAATAGTAGCTAGTATTTATTGAGAGCTTATATGCCAGATATTGTGCTAATAATGATTAACAGTTAATATATGTGCTAGAGCATATATTGTCTTAGTTAATTGTTACATGAACACTATGACGGTAGTTACTGCTGTAACCATCTTACACATGAGGGAAATGAGACAAAATGGTTTGGTAACTAGCCTGAGTTTACACAGTTAGAAAGCAACAGGGTTTGACTCTAGACTCTACTCTTAATATAATGCTGATTATACCCAAACCCTTTAGTGCATTTATGTAGGTTTTACTATTAATCATATTCCTTTCTTTAATCATCTTTTCCAGCTAATAATTTTCTTTCAGATACTCTAGGTGCTATTTTCATTATTAATACTAATTTTACCATAAGGTCAAAATTGTTTACGTCTAATTTACTTTAAAGTCTGTTAATCCCTTATATTCTTTATGAGCTATTTCTCTATCACATCTCAGGCTAGAACTCAGACATTGTGAATTATAATTTAGTACATGGCTGCCAAAGCAAGAACAGTGAGTTATTATTTAGAACCTTCCATTCATTATCTTCTACCATGTCCCTAATCAGGTCACATTTTCCTTTTCTCATTTTATTCATTTATTTAATAAATATTTATTGAACACTTACTGTTTGCCTAGTGGCTCAATGATTAAGCACTCAACTGCTAACCGAAAGGTCAGTGGTTCAAACCCACCAGCCGCTCCACAGAAGAAAAGACCTGGCGATCTGCTCCCCTAAAGATTACAACCTAGGAGACCCTGGGGGAAGTTCTACTGTGTCATATAGTGTCACTGAGTTGGAATCAACTCGATGGCACACAACAATAGTATACAGCAGTGGACAAACATTAAAAAAAACCCTGCCCTCATGGGGCTCGCATTTTAGGGAGGAGAAGAAAGAAAGAAATCAATCAGTGGATGAATGGATGGATAGATAAATAATATTTTAGATGGGGAGAATGTTATGAGGAAAAGCAAGGTAAGGAGCATCGGATATACTGGAAAGCTGGGAGTCAAGGTAGGCCTCACTGAGTAGGTGACATTTGCCTGAAGGAAATGAAGGAGGGAGTCATGCATATATCTAGGGAGATAGCATTTAGGCCAAGGAAGAAAAAAAACTGCAGAGACCCTGAGGCAGAAGCATGTTTGGGATACTAGAAGAACAAGAAGGAGGCTCTTGTGTTGGAATAGAGTGAGCAAGTGGGAGAGTAATAGGAGATGAGAACTGAATAGGACGCCAAAGTAGCTTGGCATGTGTGTCAAAGATTAATGGGATAAATACAAGGATATAAGTACATAAAATTGTTATTGTGATTTTATTCAATTTTTCTTTCCTTATTGATGGTAATACTCTTGCCCTATAAATTTTTGCTAGTGAGTCCGTATCTAGAATATTGTGTTTAGTAATGGATAATACATCTTAAAATGGAATTGATCAAAGATGAATCGGGTAGTAAAGAGCCCAAAAACTCACCTACAAAGGACACTTAAAGGAATTGGGGACATTTATCCCAGAAAAAGTAACTCCGGGGGAAACGCAAACACTATCTTCGACATTTACAAGGCTGTCAAACAGAACAGGAAACAAATTCTAGTCCTAATTTGGCTCTTTAGGCAATTTATTTAAGGTAACATCATGAAGTACTAAGGTCAGAGCCTCAGTTTCCTCATCTTGTAAATCAGAAGTATTATCTGCCTAAAAACTAGTTGTGAGCATAAAACAGAAGTATGTAAGGAGTAGTACTAAAATAATAGGCATACCATAAATGATATGCATGGTGTTGCCTATTAAACCAAAAAAACCAAACCAGTTGCTATCGAGTTGATTGTGACTCATGGCAACCCTCTGTGTGTCAGAGTAGAACTGTGCTCCATACGGTTTTCAATGACTGGCTTTTCGGAAGATCTCCAGGCCTTTCTTCCGAGGCACCTCTGAATAGACTTCCAGCCTTTCATTTGACAGCCAAGTACGTTAACTGTTCCAGGGATTCCACTGAACTACTTGGAGGTCTTCAAATATACAATGATCTCTCACCCTTCCTTTCAGCTGCATAGACTGCTGTATTTGCTTTAGAATACCATTCTTCTTTTTCCCGTCCTAGTTGCTTGTCGACTTTCAGAATTCATCTATGGTACAACCTCTCTTTAACTTTTTCAGTCCATCTTAGATGCTCCCAAGATACTGTGCTCATTGTATTACAGTGTACTGTGATCATCACTTTCGTTGAATGAAAGAAAAATAATCTTTAGCAATATGGAAGTGGTTTTTTTGTTTGTTTTTGATTAGTGTAGTCTAGATTCAGTTGTTTATTGTGTCATTTACTAGCCAAAAGACCTTTATTAAATTACTTAACCTTTCTAATTGTTTTTGTATTCTAATTCTACCTATCTCATAGGATTGTTTTGAGGTTTACATGAAATAATTGATGCAAAACACTTAGCACATTGTCAGGAACATACAGTAAGTGTTGACATTCAGTAAATATTATCTATTATTAATTATTATGCCGATGGGGGCAGTGGTGGTTCAGTGGTCAAATTCTCCCCTTCCATATGGGAGACCTGGGTTTGATTCCTGACCAGTGCACCTCAAGTGTAGCCACCACCCATTTGTCAGTGGAGGTTTGCGTGTTGATATGATGCTGAGCAGGTTTCAGCAGTGCTTCCAAACTAAGACTAGGAAGAAAGGCCTGGTGATCTACTTCCAAAAATCAACCAGTGAAAACCCTGTGAATTACAGTTGTCCGATCCACAACCAATCATAGGGATGACACAGGACTGGGCAGCATTTCGTTCCATTGTACACGAGGTCCTCATGAGTCGGAGGCCAACTCGACAGCAGCTAACAACAACACTATTGTGCTGATAGTAATTTGACAATTGAATGAGCTGCCTTGTGATGGAAATTTCTGTATCACCATAGGTATTCCCTTAGTGAGTAGAAGTATATCTACCCTAGTGCAATACAAGGTCTCACATAAGATAGGGAATTGGATTTGCTATCATCCTATCCCAAGTCTATGACATCCTCCTCTATCAAAATCATTTCAAAGCTTTCCTTAAATACCATTTTTAAGGCAGCATCATAGACAAAAGTAGCCTATCCCTCTTGAATACTTTCATAACAGTTTATAATATGCTACTTATCACACTGCTTCTTATGGTACGCATTTATAGTCATAAAATGGGAACTTAGATAATCACCTAGCACGTTGTGTTACACAGAATAAGCACTTAGTAAATGGTAACCTCCCCCCTTCCTTCACCTTTTATTTGAACTTCATTCATAGGCATTGAAAAGATATTGATAGTTTTTGAGGCCATAGGTGATTTCATCAAAGCAGTGATTTAAAAAGATTAATATAACAGTTGCAGGATGGATTGGAAGGGGAAAGCCCAAAGACAAAGTTAATGAGCTGATTCAATAATACTTCATTCATCGCTTTCCAATTAACATTTAGGAAGGAATGTGGTATGGAAAGAGCTTAGGTTTTGTAGCTAAGTGCTCTGTAGCAGTTCATAATTTTTCCAGGGGAACAGAGAATTGCTAGTTGAGAAAAAAATGTTTTATGTTTTTTCTCCCCTTACTTCATCTTTCTACAGATTGTTGCACATGTAGGATTAAAAGATGTAAATGAGGGAATGCTGTCATTTTTAACATATATAACAAAAAACTTGTTGTCGTCAACTTGATTCTGACTCATAGCAACACCATAGGACAGAGTAGAACTGCCCCATAGGGTTTCCAAGGAGCACAGCTGGCTGGTAGATTCAAACTGCCGACCTTTTGGTTAGCAGCCGAGCTCTTAACCACTGCACCACCAGGGCTCCTTTAACATACATAGGAAT